ATTTTTATTTTTATTTTAATTTTTATTACTACTTTTGCCAAAAGTAATTTTAATGTAATTTTTTATTATTATTATTATAATTTTAACAAAAATTTTTTAAAAATTTATTTTATTACCCAAAATTTTTTAAAAAAATAAATTAAAAAATTCGGGAGTTTTTATTTTAACTACAAAAAAAAAAAAAATTAATATTTACCAACGTGTCCGTCGTCTGATTGAAAAACAATGTCCGCCATATTTGTTTTGTTTGTTTATGTTTTTCCCTCCATTTTTTTTAAACGTATCGATCGATTATTAGGATCATAATTATCGTTTATTATTATTTTTATTATTATTATAATTAATCAATGAAATAAGTATTTAAAATAATTGTTAATAATAATAATAATAATAAATGGGAGACGGACGGTCCCCCGATTAAACAATTTATATATATATATACGGGAGTCAGTCAATGTTTCGGACAATTTGTTTAAATAAATTGTTTAACGTCAGATAACTAAGGATATACATAATTCAATATAATTTACATTGTCCCACATAATCTTTGGCTCGTTTCAATTTTTTTTTTTTTTTGTGTTGTCTGGTTTAAATTCTGTCGAAAAAATTTCCCTCCCCTCCTCTTCCTCCTCCCCACCCCCGAAAACCTTGTTTTGTTTGTTACTAAAAATTATTATTATTATTTTTTAAAAAAAAACTTTAATGCATTTGTATATAAATTTTTATTACAAAAATTCGTCGATGCCTATAATTTGTAAATAAAAAAAAAAAACTGGCAGATAAATTTCCGCATGATGATAATAATAATGACGATGATGATGATGATGATGATGATGATGATGATGACACTTATTGGATTTACTTTTATTTAACTTCCTATACAGAAATAAAATTAAATCCTCTTTTACCTTCGTACTTATTTAAATAATAATAATGATAAATTTTTATGGCGATCGTTATTCTTTTTTTTATTTTTATATATAATTACGCACTGTGGAAAAAAATTAATAATAATAATAATAATAATAACGTGTGATAAAATAAGAGGATGTGTAAAGAAGAAGAAAGAAAAAACAAAAAAAAAAATACAAAATGCTAATTAAATGATATTAAAAAAAAAAAATTTTTTTTTTTATTATTATTATTTACACGCAGTTAATTGCAAAAAACTTGAGTGCAGTTTTTAACAAATTTAGACAATCAACCAAATCAAAAATAAATACTCAGTTATACAGATAAAATACAATTTTTTTTTTCCTTTTTTTTTTTTTAAACTTTTCCGTTTGGGTGTCTCTCAAATGACACAAAAAAAAAAAAAAAATTATAATTATAATAATAATAATACAATTTCCCCCCTACTTGTCCCCTAAATATAAAAAAAAAAAAAAAAAAAACGTAATAATAATAAACAATAATTATAAAAAAATAATAATAATAATGATAATAATAAATTTGATACAAAATTATATCCTTTCAAAATATACAAATAAACTAATTAATAACCCCCCTTATTGATTAAATTTTCTTTGGCTAAGTACAATGACCTTCAAAAGTTTTATGGGTGTTTTTATAAGGCAACTTTTGAAAATGATAATACTTGATCCAAATACAAAAAAAAAATTATTAATTATAAAATATGTAT